GTGACTGATATATTGTGGGAAATGACTTAGAGTGCAGAGGGGTCATTGCAAACATGCTTACACACATAGGTTATTTTTAGAATAAGTCTGTGGGTCATAAAGTCACGAACATGTTATACTAAACCAACTTTGAATCACTAGAAGAACATTATTTTTCTTGCATCTAAATTACCCAAACACAGCAGTTATCCCACATATGGTCCACCTATTAAAGGGGGACAGAGGGTCGAGAGAGAGAAAAGAAGCATGACAACTAAGAGAACTGACACCTAGTGGGTAAAAAGAGGGTGTGTGAGTAATGTTTGGAGAGATGTGCTGCACTTTCATTCCCAACAATATAGCCCCAGATGGTTCTGTAACTAGAGCCCTGGGAAGACTCAGAACATCATTTTAAAAAATGTAAAAAAAAAAAAAAAAGCATAAATATTCTGTAACTGATAATCCATTGTAGGAGTGGATGACGTCTGTCTTTGGGCAATGGAAGAGTTTATTATGTCAATCACGGTCTCACTTTCTGTTTTCGTTGCAATACTTACGACATGCGGATGTTGTTTCATCCCCTGCCTTAGAGCTCAAAGCTGGACCTCGCAACACTGGATTGTAAGGTGTAAGTGATCTCTTTTTAACAAGAGCTCAAAGGGGAAATTGTGAGATTATTACACTGTCTTATGTTACATTATACCTCTGATTTAAGCTTATGAAATCATTATATAGTTTTAGGTTGCATTATACTCCTGAGTTACAAGGTGAAATTATTATATTGATTAGACTGATTTGTATTACATTAGACTGCTGATTTACTCTGAATGAATTACACTGTTCTATGGTGCTTCATAATGCTGATTTATAAAGAAAATACTGTTTGCAGAGAATCATGGCCTTGCTTTTCTGATTGTAGGAAGAACAAAACATACTGCACAGGAAGCCAAGGTCGTAACTTAGGCTCACTGACAGAGAAAGAATGTGGATGCTTAGTTTGGAAGGGGGGCCGAAGCTTTAAGAATGTGAGAAATGGTTAGACACTTCGAGATTTTGCCGGACACCCTCCAATGCACATCTCCTGTTCGGACGTTTGAAATGCTCAAAGTATTGTATGGAATAAAGATAATTGTGTTGATTAAAGTAATTGTTGATTGAGCATTTATGCATCGAGTGTTATTCTTCCTTCAGCCCAAAGATCAAAGAGTTGGGATATTTAACAGGGCAGTATTATGTTAATGTTGTGGAGTTCCAGTTCAGGAGGAAGTAACATGAAGTCCTGAACTAGTCCTGTGGTGGATAATATATAAATATTGCAATCTCTGAAATATTGCTGTTGAAATTGTTTTAAGATGAAACAAACAAAGAAAAAAATCACAATGAACATTGACTGGTATGAAGTCATCATTACCTGGGATTATTGTTTCCATTGTTCTCCAGTGAGTTTCCTATTCTGACCTCAGCTCCATCCAGTCTTTCAGCACAGCAGTCTCCTCTGTTGGTGACTTTTACAGCAGTGATTGTAAAGCTTCGCTGCAGGTCCACCCTCCACCAGGGGTTGGTCTCGTCTTCAGCCGTGTGGCTACAGAACCCATTGCTATAGAACGAGTTCCGTCTGCCATCGATGGCTTTGGACGCAGTGGCAAAGGAGAGTGTAGATGACTGGGAAGCTTCTCCTTTCAGTGCCACATTGGTTAATGGGTATCCTTGAAGGAAAACCAAGAAAACAATAATTTCTTTTGGTTGGCCTGTCACAATCTCTATTGACATAAATAAAAAAAATAAAGAATCATAATATTTTTAGAAATTAAAAACACACTGACATAAAAGCCTTCATTGTCCTTTGACTCAGTAAATTACAGTCTTATGTATCAACATAATAATTAAAGGGGTTTACCGTAGTACACTTCAACCTCACAGAGACTCAGGACCTTTGCACTTCCTGGTAGAAACACAGTGACATAGCGTCCCTTCACAGAGTTACATGGAAAATAAAACGCTTGTCCGCTGGGAATGTGAGAGATGACAGCGCACCTGTATATAACAGATTCAAAAAGAAAAAGTATAAAAATAAAAAATAAATAAGTCCCACTGATATAATGATAACTGACTTATGAGTATATATCACCTGTTACTTTCAGGGTCACTGATTTTTGTTGAATTTCCGATCCAGATTTCGGCACCATCCAGCCTGTTTTCCAATTCATCTCTATTGGTTATCATTACAGTCCCAATTGTATACACATTTACCAGGTCTACTCTCCACCAGGGATTAGATTGTCCACTGGTAAGTGTGCAAGACCCTCTTTGATAGCTTGCATCTCTGTTTCCATCAACTGCTCTACCAGCAGTACCCACAGTGCTACTGGTTGAAGATTGGACAGCTGTTTTTTTCAGGGCCACGTTGTAAAGAAGTTGACCTAAATAATTTAAAAAATGCATTATCAATCAAAACAGCTACCGCTGAGCAGAACCAAAGCTTTGAATATATGTTGCAACTCTTCACTGATTGCTCACCTTGAATGTTTAGAGTCAAACATAATATACAGTGCTCTGAAAGGGATTTGTCCCCTTCTTGATTTCTTTTTTTCTGTATACTTAACACAGTTACATGTTTCATGTCATCAAACAAATTTGACAAATAACCTGCCCCACAAGAAATGTTGCCATGAGCAGGATTTGAATCTGGCCCTCCTGGTCTCAAGGCGGCTACGGACTAATTTCTTACTGTAAGGGAGTGAGCTGGTTAGACAGGAGGAAACAGAGGTTAAATGAATATAACTTAAGCAGATTTTGCAACTTAGCATAGCTCCAAACTAACTTCTACCTCCTATTGGGAAAAAAAAAATCTAAAGTAGCACACTACAAATAAAAATAATGTATTTCAAGAATCTCGGTTACCAACTTCACAGTTGTTTGAGCATTCAAACAACTGTGAAGTGACATAGTTTTGGATAGCATTGTTCCCTTTATGAATTAAATCATTTAAAATTGCAGTTTGTACTTATTGTGGCTATCTTTGTCTAATAATACAAATTGTTTGAGGATTTGAAAAATGCAAGTGTGACAAATGTGCAAAAATTAAAAAAAATTAAAGAAGAGTCAAATACTTTTTCACAACATTGTATTTCTGTTCATCAGTTATAATTAAAATCAGTGTCAGGTGAGTATGGACATGTACGCATCCCAGTATAAGACACATTCAAGATGATGTGTTTTTTATGTATTACAACAGCTAAGTTATCTTTTACAGTGAGCTGATGGGTGCACATTATTTCAGGGTTTTAGTCACAGTCACAATCAAAAAGCATATACACAGAGACTTCTGGGTTATTATATAACATAATTAAAACTTTGTTGTGTTAAATCCCTGTAGCATCACAGCCTACAGAAATGGAAATGGAAAAAGAGTGATGCGCGCAATTTATATGTGGGGGCCATGACCCACATATACAGTGGGGCAAAAAAGTATTTAGTCAGCCACCGATTGTGCAAGTTCCCCCACTTAAAATGATGACAGAGGTCAGTAATTTGCACCAGAGG